AAAAAAACCCCCCCCCCCCCCAGTCAACTCAAAACCACTAGAGAGAGAACAGAAGAAACCTTCATAAAGTGTCAAAATATTTGTTCTCAGTTTTGTGATGAGATCCGGATTTTCTTCCAACACATCAACAGCAGTAATTGCTACACTTGCTAGATATGGAGGCAAAGAAGCAGAAAAGACATAACCAGAGCTACTGAGGCGCTGCCAAATGAAGCATAAAATAGGCATCAGAAACCAATATCAAATAATATTTGTCAAACAATATGTTCTGACAAGCAAGTTTAGCTGGATTATAAGAGCATGTTGGCTAAGCTTAAAATGTTCACTTATGAGTAAATAAGCAAATTTTCAAATAATTAAACTTTTTCATTGATAAAAATTGGAGATAAACAAGCTATTTTGGCAATAAGTCACTTCCAATAAAAGTATATTTTTACTTTTTCCTTTTTATCTTAAACCTTTTTACTTAATAGTTAGTAAGAAAACATTGATTTACTCAAAACATATTCAGAGTAAATCAAGTAATTTTTATTTGCTTTTAAAGTTAAGTTTCACTAGTAGTAGAAATTAAGTATATATTTTCCTACTTGGTGGTCGATGACTCTAGTACTCCCAGTGCAAAATCCTCCTTCAGTGGCCAGTGCGTGCCCCATAGCAGCAGTTACAATATCTACCTTGTCAATCTGCAACAACATAAAACCATAAAACTACATAAAAATTCGTCAATAACTAATTATACCAGAGGGTGATGGAAACATACTGGAACTTTGTAGTGTTCAGTTAGACCTCGACCAGAATGTCCAAGAACACCAAAAGAATTGCTCTCATCCAGTATTACACGGAACCGATATTTTTCCTTCAGCCTGATAATTTCATCTAATGGAGCAATTTGACCAGAATTCTGGAATTATAAAAAGTCAAGTCACAAACTAGTATTTTGGGGATCCTGCTACAAGAAGTTATGTTAGAAGTTATGTGCATGCCAATTAATCGTCCAGCATGCATTGTCTCATTCTCAATCATGGCATATATATTAAAACTCTTATGCCCTCAAAATGGTGTATCTAAGAATTTATCAGCAAACAAAAATAGTAGGAAAAGGATTAAGAGTAGTGAGAGGTGAAAGAAGCAAAAACCTTTCCAATTCTACTTACATATCGATGAAACGGAAGAAAAAGAGAAGCAAGAAAGATTCAACAAGTAGGACACTAGTATTCCTTTGAGGATAGATACCTGATAAACACCTTCAACCACAATATAGCGCCTGACTTTCTTAGCTCGCTTGTTTTCATGGGTAGTTTTCTCCAAAATACTTCGTAAAGACTCCATGTTGTTGTGTTTGAAATATAAAATTGTACTTCTAGACAGATGTAGCCCATTTTGTATGGCCCAGTGGACACCTTCATCTCTGAAATAGCGCCAATGAACATCTGTTAATAAATCTTAAAAAGCGTGTTAAGATTCATGACAGATACAAGAGACGTCAGCACTGGAATAAAGAAAAAAAAA